CCCACCCCGGCGTCCCGCAGTGTTTGCAGAGAAAGAGGCTTTTTCTGTGAAGTGAATTGAGAAAATAAATAATCTCTCTCAGCGTCCTTATGCACAGTTTGTGTAGAATTCCCTACCGGTGCCCTCCTTGCGAGGTATGAAGTTAAACTGGGGGAAGATGCATTCAACACGTGCTGCAAGACGCTGATTTTTAGGCACCTTCTTCAAACAGGACGGTGCCGTGACACAACTTGCCCTTTCTTTTCTGTTCTTTTCTTGCCCTTCCGCTGTTTGACAAGAGTGGTCGTGCACAGGGTCAGGAGGATGAAGCCCTGGCCAGGGGTTGTCCCCTCTACCTTGACAAACAACCTCCACGTTTTCCCGCTGACTGGAAAAACCGCTTCAGGTCACACCTCCCAGTACGCTCAAGATGAGCAGCGTTTTATGGGTCAGAATTTCAGCACGAAAGGCACAAATCGGGCACCTTCTGCAGTGGCTTCGCTCACAAAAAGCGATGACGTCCAATCCCGGCCCGCAGGGTGCGTTAGGGCTGGCCTTGGGGACGGGGAAGCGAAGCCACAGCTGCCAGGCCTGCACCAAACGCGCCTGCAAAACCACCACCTTCCAATTCACATCTTGAAAACGCAGCTCCTGCCATTCCAAGCTGTGTTTTTTTGGATATTTACAGGCCAGCACTTCCCCACGTTTCACTACATTGGCTCATGGCTTCTTGCCTTCAGACACTTTGTCGATTGTTTCCTTGTTTAACTTCTGACAGAGCCCAGGCTGGGGAAGGAGAGCGATTTAACCCGGAGCAGCTGCCAGACGCGGGGCGTTCTGCTTGCAGCACTCCCACAAAGCAAAGGCATCTGTCAGAAATATGTGAGCGGAGAGGCAAAGAATTGAAAAAGCCTGTTTGTACTCTTACAGTGATCCTCTGCCTTCCCTAGAGTCTCCTCTGAATTACACTGAAGTAAAAGACTAGACCTCTCCTGGTGCCTCACCATCCTCAATCGATATTTTTCTGCTTACAGGCTGGTGCTTCCACAGTTGATTCAGGGTCGTTGACCCTCATAAGTTCCTTTTTTCTTTTGGGGCTTATAGCACAAAGGGGAAGGAGGTTTTGAGCCTGTTAGGCCCTTGTCAGAGCAGAGATTTCTCTCTTGGCATCAGAGTCCATCGCAGGGTTTCGTTACCGGCTGCTATGGCAGAGCAGCTTGAAGGAAGAACAGCCTGAAACAACCCATGGGGAAGCACTAACTCATGATGCAATTGAGCTGCCTTCCCCAGAAGTGTTTTTCAATACCCTAGGGCACCCAGAATTTGCTGACTATTTGATTTGCTCTGCCCCAAATTCCTGACACTGCTTAAGCAAACCACAGGACCAGGAACTAAAAGATTCCATCTTCTGATCCTTTTTCTAAGGCTATTGCCTTTGTTTTCTTAGAGCAAATCAATTTCTTTCCCGCCTCTGTTTTCCTGGTCAAAGGAATGTAACTTTAAATCTCAGCTGCCAAGGGAGAAGGATTTGTTAATTTCACAATACGCTATCCAAATGCTAAGAGTTTAACAAATAGTTGCTCCAAAATGACCACCCGGATTTTATTTCCATGACAATGAATCAATAAGCAGTCATCTAAGGAATTCCAAAAAACTGCTGGGTGTGAATATCCTGGCTCACAGAGACTTGTTGCTCTTAACCCAGATGCCACCCTGGCACGCAGAGATGTGCAAAAACCCACACACTGAGCCTGGCCAAGGTGAAAGGCACTTCTCACCCCAAGCTTGGCTGGATGACAGCCTGCATCCATCACCTGAGAGAAGACAAATCCTACTGCCATCCCATCTCCTGAGCTCCATCCATCACTGCTCAGCCAGGCTTTTATTTGTTGTTGTTTTGTTACCGTTAACGGTTGGTTTTTTTATTAAAAAAAAGTGGATTAAAAACTCACCTAAAAAAAAAGCAGGAATCATCACACAGGGTATACCAAACAAACATGTTTATTT